AAAGGCTTGAATTGTGCCAAATGTGAATCCTTCGGTTTATCTGTGTGCACATCCTTACTCTGCCAACTATCTGCTGGGTAGGTTCCCTGTGGTAAGGGAGGGACTACTTCTCAAACATCTTTTATCTCCTTAATAAGAAAAGGTAAGGGCTTTATGAAGATCCTCTAGGTTCTGTAGCCATACTGTTTCAGGCTACAAAATTCTTGGCACAGTCAGTCAACTAGTATTAACTGCAGGCCCACTTCAGTTTTCTTTGTGTCTTTTAAATCAGTGATTAAGACCAGAAAGTCATTGATCACTAGTGACCAAAACTGCCCCCTCCTCTTAACTAAGTGGCCGTTTTGCCCAGCTAAGGCAGTTTCCTGATAGTTTGTGATGTCATTATCCTACTTCCTCTGTTCTTAACCAAAGCCTACCATGTGTCTTGTCCCATCCTACATGCTTCCAGATGCCCAAAATAGATCTTACACAAAAGCAGACCGAGAAATACTTCCCCAACCCTAATTGGGGTATTTTAAATTTTGGTATGACATGTAGTGACCCTTTAAATAAATATTTGTGCTCCAAATATAAGTATTACTAAAAGCTATAAGAATCACTGAAAAATTAGAAGGGTAACTAATTTTTTACTTCGAAAATGAACATCCCACTATAAACTTTTAGTTATCTTTAACATAATGGTCTTTCTCAGGTGACCACTCACTTTCCACCTCAGTTTCTTTAGAAGACACTTAGAAAGAAAGCATAGAAACTACAAGAGGTTAGGTACCAAAGATCAGTTATATGAAAGTAATTTTGATTTTCTAATCAGTGCAATTAGTAGCATAGTTTTCAGATTTTTCTCATTAAAAATATTTTTATGGAATTCTGGAAGTTACCATGAAAAACAAACACAAAAATAGCCAAAATAAATTACTATTTTAAAAAGTGACATAAAATGAGGGAAATGGCTAATATACATTTCTAGAAAGAGTATTTTAAAATCTGAATAGTCACTCATATAACATCATCATGCTCTATTAAGAAACTTCCCTCTTTCATAGTTTATACTTAGTCAAATAATCATCATATAAGATTTACATTTTATATAATGCCTAGTGTGTCTTATAGGCACAGTTTTTACAACTATCAAAGGATTGTTTAAAACTCTTATAAGACCACATGATAAATTCAAACTCCTGAACATGGCATGTAAGAGTTTTCAAATTGTGGCACAATATGTACTTTTCTACTCTTATCTATGACCAGCCATTTCTCACACATCTTTTGTTAAAATGTTTTTATATACCAATGACCACATGGTGAATAAGTTCAATTTTTTAAACATTTCATAACTGGGATATGAACTAGTTTCATAGGAAATGGGTATGTGCATTTTATATAAATACTTATATAAATTATATTCTTATTGAAGAAAAAAACATGTACCACTGGGCATAAGTAGAATATGTAAATAAAATTGTCACAGTAACCATCTTTATCTCATTAAAGAAAATTCTCCAGAGACTTCCCAAGAGGGATGGCATATGTTGAATCTTTATTTAACAAAGATAATTTTTGTAACAAAACTTATTTTTCTTTTAACAACACCAAATAACCTAAACAGATCCTCTAGAAGCTATTAAAAGTAGGAAGATTTGTTATTTTCCATGATAAAAGATAGGAGGAAATGGCAATTTCAATAGGAAGTAGGCCTTAGGAATTACTAACCACCACAATCCTTACATGCATTTGGATAAGAATGAAAATAACTATCCACAGTAATTAGGGCAAACCTTACCCACTCCTTATAAGCAGATTTCAATTTTCCATTTATTTCACGGAACAACCATAGTACCCTGTTCTCTTAACAGATGTTTATAAAATGCCAAGGGTCAAGCATAGTGCCTGGTACCTATAAAGGGATTCAATATTTTTGAATGAACAAATTATTGAATGAATAAACACAATGGGCTCTCAAACTCCATCTTAGGTATGCTATTATGCCTATTATGTGTTTTGGCACCTCTCCCTGTCAATCATGATGTATTTCCTTTCCTTTATCCTTAGAAAGGCTCTGGTTATTCTTTCTTCCTCTAGAGATCTAGAATCTATAATTACCCGGATCTTGCTTGAAACTCATTAAATAAAGGATACTCT